GCCCATGCAGGTCCCAACACGCTGTGTGAGGGAGCGTGGGAGGAGGGGTCAACCACCCAGTCTTCAGGTAGACAACTGATTCTCACCTGCCAATCAACGAACTAATCAAACCATCAATTAATTGATGATCCAATGATTCATTAATGAGACCGCGAATTAAAACCGCGAATTAAAAACACCAATCTGCCGATTCAACCGCCATTCCACCACCTATTGTTCACCCCCACTCAATTAATTAACCCTTTAACTAAATCACCCACCCCCACCCACCCTACACTACACCCTTTCACCAGGTGAACAATAGATTTTTATCTGTCAATCAACGAAATCAATCAATCGATTAATTAATTAATCGAACCGCGAATTAAAACACCACCAACCCACCCACTTTCACATGACCCCCCCACTAGCCGACATACGCCCTTATGAGTCGAAAATCGTTGATCCAGAACCCGCATTACATATCTACTAACAAACTGTGAAGATTAGCAGAAAAAGAAAATTAACATCATACAAGAGAAATGTTAATTCCAGAGGAGAGGTTTGAAGGAACGAAAAGAATGGATACTGATAGAATGCAAATGGTAAATTAGAGGTTTTAGCTATTCGTCACACTACTCCCTCCTCTGAAAAACAGATTGCCGTCTCGACAATCAAATAAACTAGTTATTATGAGCAACTGAAATATCAGTTTTAAAGAAATATTGATATTTGAGTTATCGGGGGCTCATAACCCATATTCTCTTTGAAACCCCAGAGGGAAAATACAAAAGAGAATAGCAATAGATTCGAATTGAATTGTCACAATCAGGAGTTTCGATGAAGTTTTGATGAGGTTTTGTCATCGCGTGCGGCAGCTTCATTACCATAAAATAAATAATTATAATAATGGACTAAATAAAAAACATGAAATCCGAAGGAAGAAATAAAACATTCTCCTCTTTTTCCCTGTGATAATTCAACGGTTTGAATACACTGATTGCAAAATCCCAACGCCTAATTGAGCCGAGGTTAGGTTGGATCGAACTGCTGCGAACTTAGTGACTTCAATGTAATCGAAAGATAATAGAAATCGGGAAAATATTGAAATGAGTCCATTGCCGTCGGCATATACTTGGCCATATTAATCGAAAAAAAGGAAAACTGACTTCAACGAAAAGCTAGAGCGCGATTTATACGATCGACCTATCCCCAGATTTCATGTAACTTGTGGCGTTTGTATTTTATGGATTGAATACGATTTGGAGGAAATAGAAGAGGCAGTTGTATCGTGTACATGGTAGCGCTCGAGAAACTTATTTGTTGGATAGAGGCGAGATTTTTATCTCGATTTCGACCTCCGCTAATAGCTCTCGAAAATTAACTTCGTAAACGTAAAAAATTAGTATTTTATTTTCGGTTATGAAAGTAAACTGTTACGGAAGCACTCAATGTAATAAAATAAAAATGAAAATTTATTTGTGAAAGGAAGAAATAATATGGAAGATAACCATTTGGAAGCATATTGCTAATTTATTAGCAAACACAACTATATGATATACGATATAAGATCCATTCTCCACTTGTTTTTATTTGAATAAATGTTCGAATGAAATTAATTTCAGGTTGAGAATTCAGTCATTCACCTAATACCTCGTAACACTCTGAAGTATGAATAAAGATATGAATATGAATAAGATAGTTACGGGATTGACACGAAATTTTCAGAAACTATACATAAATACATGTGGATTCCCAAAATGCAACCAAATATTGACTTTTTTTCTAATGCCGGCGGGGTACAGCCCTTTGAGCAGACATTCCACCATTTATATCGATTACTTCCATAAAAAAAAGATTCAAATAGAATACCAAGGCTTATTGGTGAGTAATTGAATAATAATCAAAATATTGGTAGAGTTCGTGGATCTGGGAAATCTCCATAAAACTCGTACAATTGGATGGATTTTAGCATCTATCGATAATGGGATAATATATATATTCTGACCTTGTCCGGGAAATCAAAATATAATAACTCCCGGTGAAGTCACGAATAGATAGAATAATTGAACAAACGAATGATTTTGTGAGGAGAAATTACTTGGTGTGTACGGGGGACCTTAAATGAGGAAAAGGGGGAGGGGTGAATAATTACTCGGGCGGGATATTATAAACACGATCATGTATTTCAATAAAGGATTCAACGTTTAAATATAGAGTATCTCACAGCAAAATCCCAGGCCTTCTCTTGAAAATTAATCAAGGGCGGGGGGTAAGGCCGGCCAGCTCGCGACACACCGGTAAATGATAATAATAAAAATCAGAAAAACAAGATAACGAAAAAGAACAAATGAAAGCGGGTGGAAGTTAAATAATTGAAAAGAGGGGAGAAGTTAGGGGAACGATTGAACGATCACTGAAAAAATAGGGGGATTATTCTTACACAAAAATTTCTCCTGCACATATGAACTAATAATTATTAATTTAGAGGCTCACCGTTGGGGGGAAATATTATTACAGGGGTTTAGGTAATACTTGTTGGGGCGGGAAAGGTAAGAAAGGGTACTCACGGGGATGGTGACGATCCTAATCCTTTCGGAAAAAATCCTCCCTACGAAATCGTGCACACAGGGCTGTCCTTATCCTCCTAGTCCTCACTCCTGGGTCTACAATTCTCCTGGACAAATAGTCCCACAATTTCCTCAAAATTCTCTTCACAAATCTCCTCACCCTCTCTTCACAAATCTCCTCGCAATCCCTTCACAAATCTCCTCACAATCTCTTCACAAATCTCCCACAATCTCTCCGCGAGATCTCCTCGCAATCCCTTCACAAATCTCCTCACAATCTCTTCACATATCTCCTCACAATCTCTCCACAGGATCTCCTCACACTTTCTCCACAAAATCTCCTCACAATCTCTCCACACGATTTCCTCACACTCTCTCCACAAATCTCCTCACACTCTCTTCAAACTCTGCTCACACTCTCTTCAAATTCTCTTCCAAATCTCTCTTCCAACTCTCTTCCAACTCTCTTCAAACTCTCTTCAAAATCTCTCTTCTAGACGGGGCAGCTGTATTACGAGTGATGGCGTCGCATCACTCGTGCTCGTTCTTCCCCGATTATCGGTGATAATCGGGGTCAATCGGGGACACTCGTCATCGAGTGTGCTTATTATTACTTCTAATTTCCCCATTGTCAGGGACTGTCCTGTTTCTTTTCCGGTGTCACGTGTGTTGTGACGTAGTCGTGGGGGATTTTCTTTTCTTCCAGGTCACGTGGGCCGTGACGTAGGGATGGTGGGTTACAGTTGTTCTCTCCGGCGTGCGTCGTGCTGTTTCAGTCGGCTGTGAGTGTAGGGCGGTGAAACGCAGGGCAAGGGGAAGGAATATCTCGGGAGTGGGAGCCAACGGTGGCAGGTTCGTCGATTTATCTTAACATAATTATTAACCTACTTAAATCTAAAAACAAGTCATCATTAGGGGCAGGGGAGGGGTAAAAAAAGTGCCTCGTCACAATATATATGTGATATGTTCCCCGATTACTTCGTTCACCTATATGATAACGGCCTTGTGATCAGAAGTACAGTATTAATGTCATAGTATTTCCTATTCACGTTTCAGAAAAATGATACATTGATCATCAGACGAGAGGTTACAGGAATCAATCAGTTGTGGGAAAGTACCTCTGAGTTTGAGTTGGAACTTTCAAGCGATCATTTCCAAAATGGTCAACTTCGATTGGCCTGTTTTGCGACTATAGATGGAGTATATACTTCGTCAGCGGAAACGATTATTACAGAAGATAAGCCATTGATTGCTTCAATAACAGGTGATGCATCACCGCACAACCATGGTGAGTAATTTTCCACCCATCGGGTATTTCAATCTATCATTATATCTTTGATATGAGTTCCTTACTCCTGGTTTTCAAGTGAAATTGCAAGTTAAAATTGCGAACTTATGTATAATGTGTGAATCATAAAGATTGTAAAATTTGTAAGAAATCTACGTTTCTTAGTTGATGAATGGAGATTCAGACAATCGTGATCTTCAAGTTGGTTGACGATGGCGTCAATTATTCTTCAGATGCAAACGAACCTCCGTATGTTTTCCAGGTGACTGGAATCCATTCATTTTTTTTTCATTTTTTTCTTTTTTTTTAATTTGATGTTACTTCGGAGGCATTTTTATTCTATCATTCTATCGTGGTTTCGAGATCAGTATTCCAGATGCAACAAATGAAAATTGGTGATAGTAGTGGGATTTGTAGAATCACCATATTATGTTTCTCAGTCACTATATTCTTTTCAGAACTTATTTTAACAATCTACTTAAAATTAGAAGTGGACAATGGCACACTCAGCCATCCATTATCTGTAAAATCATACTCGGATCGTCTTAAAGAATTGTGGCGACGTTTTATTTTTGAGTCACTTCCAAAGCGGACTGTTGGTTTCTGAAAATAAAAATAAAAATTTCATCAATTCCAATCGACGTGCAACGTGATCTCTTGCTCTGTTTATGTTATGTTGTTTTCGTGCTAACACCATGGCCAATCGCAGAAATATCACGTTAAGTGGTGAAGTAATTGCCGCAGGTTATGACACCAAATACGAAAAAGCAGAAATGTTCCAACTTCATGCAGGAATAAGTATGATGTAAGTAGATAGGCTGTGCCGATTCTGGACAAACTGCAAGTCGTTCCCGAACTGGCTGGCGTATGGGGGGTAAGTCAGACTCCCGCGAGCCTAGGTGTATGACCCACTATCCAGGTCATGATGTCATCCAATTCCTAGAAGACGAAGTACGTGCCGAAAGCACGTTCTCTTTCTCTCAAGGTCACCCTGTTCCCAGAATGACTAATTCAATTGCGGGAACAATGGGAACGTGCCTAATGTTATGTTATCAGCGGAATGTTTGATGTTGTGAGTGATGCTGCAGATTGCGAGTGCTTTGTCTGCTGAATCTATGCAACACGAGCATTTTTATGAGTATTTATGCTATGACGGACACGGTTCCAACAGTTAATTCTGAAGTGCAGTCAGTTCTAGAAAGACGTTCTGAATAATCATCATGGCTGTCTTCGTTGACGTGCAGGGGTTCAAGGCAGACCATAACGAGTTTATTTTTAAGGAGTTAGCAGGGATACGCTTGATGAATCCTTTCGAGCAGTTCAATTTATGGTTCAAACCGCCATTCCTGTACAGCTGTTTGTGCGACACCTAGAGGAAAATGAATACTTGGTGCACGCGGAACCATCATAGTATTGAATGGGGTGATGGAAATATTCCTTATAACGAACTGAAGGAGCGGTTCAATAATCTTTTGGGGAAAAATGCAACAAAAATTTGTGTGAAGGGCTACGAGAAGGAAATATGGATCGGAGAATTAACGAAAATAGCTATCATTGATCTGGAGGATATGGACTGCGCTCCATTATATCTGCTCCAAACGCTCTCATCCATTCCACATCAGGAGCAATGTCATAATAACTGCACAAAAGCCTATAATTGTTCACTCAAAAATGTACAGCGATTAAGACTCTGGTTTATAGAAAATGAGTTGTAATTCCATTAAAAAAATAGTCAAGTTTTAACATTTGTAACGTGACATTTTCGCAGGGAATGAAAAATGCCCATTACCTTCGCCCTACTTCCCCTGAGTCTAATAAAACCTGCTAAAATTTTAATCAATGGGCGCCAGGTAATTTTTGAGCGGAATTACCAAACCGGAAAAATCCGTAATCCTAAACTAACCTAACCTCGATAATCGTTGCATCGAAAACCGTAACTCAAAATCCTAAAATATTAACTCAAAAATATACACTAAAATCGAAAAGGGAAACCTGAAGGGAACGGAAAGGATAATTAGGCTTTTTGGGGAAAGGTGACGGTCCTGGGCTTGCTGAGTATGCCAGTTGTGGAGAGAGGGGTGGACCGTAGATGGGGAAAAGGTTACTGCAAAAATGGGGTTAAATACAGCATAAGATGGCAAGAAATAAATGAACGCAAAAATTGTCCGTACGTGTTTCGCTATTGCAAGTAAAAAATTTTATACAAGAATAATAAACAATTACAAAAAATATTCACTGGAATTCTTTGCCCCAAAAATTTTATTAGCATTTTTATTTTTCCTAAATATGAGCTTCCCATCAAAATCTCCAAATACAAATTTAATTGTTCTCTTCAAGTATCGCGGAATATAAAACTCCCAACAAAACCCGAAATATGTTGCTGATTATCCCACATTCATACAGAATAATCCCATCGGAATGCGACCTCAAGGATCATCGATCGGCGATAATCCGAGGATTAAACGAATTATTATTTTCTCCCGGGAAATCGATAATTTCCCGGATTCGGACCCCTTACGGATGAGCGCGAGAGAGAAAGAGTGCGAGAGAGAGACGGCCTTATGCCTCACTGCTCGGTTAGCAACGAGGAAAACTCCACCTCGAGAAATTCAACCTCCCTTAAAATTAGAAAATTCGGAATCCGCTGAGCAGATTCCCGAAAACCCGGAACAATATTGTTCGGAACACTATTCCCCACAACCCCACGAAATTTTATACATACCGGAACCCTGTAGGCTAATTAATAGCCACGAGGGAATTTTATGCGCGATTCCTACCTGTTCCACGTAGCCACTCGATGGCTGCCTCGATGGCGCCACTAGGGGGAACCACTGGCTTTTTCGTTGGCCGTGAACAATCTCACACAGGAAACCGCCGTAAGAATACCCGCGAAACCCCACAAAATCGCCCTAATAACCTCCCAACCGCACTGGGGGATAACACATGCCGAAATTATTCGGAAAAATCCCTCCACAAACCTCTAAACACCACCTAAAATTTGGGGGACACAGCCGATGCAATGTCCATGGCTCGGAAAATTACCATAACCGCCAACAATTTTCTGGAGAGTCGCCAAAGGGGGAAAATAGATTACATAATGCCGTAAACTCACGGTGGATCCCATGGATGCCTTTCTCTTCCTCTTTTAGACCATCCTGTGTCAAATCGGGTGTCCTCGCATGTCCTGGAATGTCCTCGGTGGTGCACTGTATCAGTCGCGTATTCATTCGGATTATTGGTGTATCTCCTCTTTCACGGTCGAGGTGTAACTGATTTTCGGAGGTCAGTGTCGCGTGACGCTGACCCCCCTAATCGCGCCTACCAATCGATCGGGTGTCGATTGGTGGATCCCTCTACCCTATTCCGGGCGAAGTCCTTCGCGGGGGAATTAATTCAAATTTGAATTAATTTCCCATTCCTAAAATTACTCTATCACCCTCATTTCCTCAGGATCGGTTCTCCTGGGTTTTCGTGACCAAAAGACCTTTATTCCTAACCCTTAAATATAATTTTATTTCACTAACCCGTGATTTATTTGGCAATCCGCCGGGATAACGACTGATTTTATTCCGAGCGGCCTTCCACCCGTAATCAATTTTTGGCAATTTGCCCGGATAACGACTGATTTTATCCCGAGCGGCCTTCCACCCGTAATCAGTCTTCGCAATTCGCCGGGGTAATTAACAATTTTGCCCCGTGCAGCCTTCCACCCGTACCAATTGATTCCCAGAATCCTTTTTCTTGAAGCGCCGGCGTTTTAGCCGGACCTACCCGATCCGGAGGGCTTACCCTAGTCTTCTCCTAAAATCCTTAATTTACATCTAACCCACGCCAAAGGGGAAAATCCTAGTTTACCCTAAACTTAACCCGTATTCGAATTATCTCACTCTCTCTTTAAATTCTATTTTGGGGATCCCAACGGGCATCCCCGATGCTCGTTACACATTATATGAGTTTTATTGATTTCAAAAATTTTTACGATTCTAATTTTACATAGAGTTATGTCATCTTCCTCGCAGTATTACATAGCGGTTGGTATTCAATGATACGGTTATGTAATATCACACAATATGTAGCTGTAGCATCAGGGAATGCTACATTTGATTCGAATTCCAAACCAATATCTACAGGTCCAGACTTTAGAAATTCATTCTGACTTGAGCAATCAATTACAATGGGAGGGGCTGATTGTATGAATTTGGATCGCGATAATAATGGTTCAGGCTCTTTGTTGTAATAAGACGTTTGAAAATTCCCATACATATCATACAAGATTGCGAACTGATTTTGCCGAACGTCTACATTCATGTTACCATATGGGTAACTTTGAGAAGTTAAGAACAATTTTACATCTCGAATATTACAATGATCGAATTTAGTCGCTTCTGAGAGTGAAATGTTTTTTCTTCCAGTTTGGAAACCTACAATGACATAACGAGATTTTTCTAGTTGTGCTGATGTCTTCACTGCCCATACATGTTTAGTCGTATGTGGTAAGAGTGAATACTCATATAATTCCCATGTTCGAAAACTTATGGAAATAATAGGATCCTTGCTGATGTAGTTCAACAATTTTACTTTTTTATCATCTGCTGCTTTAACATAAGGCACTAACCATTCGATTTTGGTAAACGCAATATTAGATGCTTCAGCTTGCGCTCCTTCAGCTGGTGCAGTTTGTACTATTGCATTCAAATTACTGCTTGAACGTACCAGAATGAGTTCATGTTTTGCATTCACAATTATATGATTGTAGAAATTCCGGCCTTTTGAGATTGACCTAGGGAAGGGGGGAGGCCAGCCAACTTGCGACGACACGCGAGAAAATATTATTACAATAACTAATACGGAAAAGGGGAGAAGTTAATGGTAATAAAAAGGGGGAGAAGTGACGGGGATCGATATTGAAAAACAATTATTGGTTAGGGGGTTTCTGTGATAAAGGCTATCAACTAACTAATTGCCTGCCTTTAAATAATTAGAAACGAGAGAGAGAGAGA